CACCGATCTTTAGCTGCAGCTGTTATCTGTTCAGCCAGCCGCAACATGACAAAGCTCAAATATAACCCGTCTAATGTCTCAGCGGTACGAATTTATTCTGAAAAACTTTCAGACATTTTCTCACGACGCTCGCTCTCACGCGGTCGCCACCCGCCTCCTGATGTCCCGCCGCCTGCGCCTGGTGTCCCACCATCTACATCTGCAGTGGCCGATGCCGTTCAATTTGCGGAAACTTTGACCCCGGTCACAGCTATTTTGCTCCTAAGATTGCTCGTGAACAGGCTAGTAATGTATGTAATTTGTTTCGCACGTCAATTCTGTAAAGGGATGGATGTTTTCAGGCAAACGTGGCCCGGCCTTTTCTTAATTGTGACCCCATTTGGATCCACTCTTCTCGACGCTCATGAAAACTCTCACCCTTTTCAGGCAAGGGGTACGGTATCGTTCCCAAACGAGAGCTGAAGGGACATTCGGTCCCAGCGCAGGATGTATACCGGCTGCCATTCCGGCGACGCCGGGGGAGGGTTCGTTGATCGTTTCGGGGGCCCTTACAGACATCCATCATACATTTGTCCCTTCCCTGATGCGGGAGGCCCTCTGACCCGGGCAGTCCGCCCCAACCGATAAAGGAGCTCTTCTTGATGTAGCAAGAACCCTTACCGCCATCAGCGGTCCAAAAATTGGCGTAGAGACTTGCAGTAGTGTGATTTGCTATGCAGGATGTGTAGGTTGCAGTATGTGATGTTAATGGTTTGCTTTGTGTGGTTATGGGATTATCAGTTTTTGCCATACCGAAACGGTGGTGAACATTTTCCACAATGAGAGATATTTCGTTTGCATGATCACGTTCACTTTCTGTTTTCAAGTGTGTCAGTTGCTCCACGAATCTTGCGAATCCCGCCAGCCTAAGAACACCCCTAGTTTATGCTTGAAGCGTGCGTAGCATAACGTAAACGTAATTTTGGTAGTTTCCGTATGGGACTGCGAAAGGAACTGTTTGTCAGAGATGGGGACGATATAGTGGCCCCTGGGGGCGGACGGCTTCATCCACGAAACCGAATGGATGCGGCGCACGCACAGACGTGTTTTAGGGTTGATATTCGCTGCCAGCTGAATAACAGCTCATTTTGGCGTCGCGACGAGCACGCAACGTCACTATAATTTGCTTTGTTACCGGTTTATGGGCTGGATGTCAAGCCATAATTGCATTATGGATGATGAGAGGCCAGATGGTGATGTTGATTAAGACACCGTAGGTAAGTAATAAGTAAGCGCATCAATTATGCTAATGATCACCGTGAGCCACCGCTCCGCATCGCCGTACGTGGCCAATACCTCTAGCAGCGTATTTTTCATCAGCATCATTTGCGCTCCACGCCAAGCGCACCCATGGTGCCCGTTTAAGTCAACTCGCCTTGACTTTGTTCTCCACTGATGAAGTCTGTAGTCAGCGTTATATACGCTTTTATTTTGTGTACATACATTTTTATGTCGTTGCTTGAGCATCATTGGGTCGCTACATCGCGGCTTTCATCGCTCTTTTGCGTAATTCATTTGCAGCCACATAGCAAAGATATATTTTGACAAGCAATTCATTAAGTTATTTTTACTCGAAGGGAGTCTTCCACATTTACGTGTTTAAACTGAGATTGCCACTTTCAAGATAATTATCCGCATCTCGCAATTATCTGTTTTGGACTTCAAATTCTCGCGTTTCTGAGAAAGAAGCTTGCAAACTTGTGCAAAGCACTTTGCGCCGCCCAATTTGACGTCACCCAGCGATGTATGACGACAGAGAAGCGCCACACTAATTCCGCCTCCTCAATAATCGCATTGTGCCCAGAGTCAAGCCAAATATGGCTTTTGAGATATTCGTGTCTGGAGGACGTCAGCACGGATAGTCGCATGAACGGACCGCAGTTGGCTTTCAACCAGCTTAAACGTGAAATGCACATTTCGAAAATGAACTGTGCTTTTGTACACAGTACAGGGATTCGGGAAGTGCTTCCTGCCATTTCCGACATGAGACTGGAAATTGGATGACTTAAAGGGAATTACCCACATTTGTATGGGGTTTTGAGCTGAAATGGTTATCTTGAAGATAATTCGTTACAGTTCATAGCCCTGGCCTTTCTAAGGCCGAAACCCTTCTAGATTGTGAACTACGCGCTCGCGGAGATGTGCAGACTATTTCGGAGAGAGTATTGCAAGGTCACCAAGGCATCCATAACGCCACAACAACGTCAGTCCAATCTTGTCATTGCATTTGTCATGCGGCGTTCAAGTGCAAGGAGTACATGTGCTCAAGCCGTTCAGATCCGGTGTCTGCGAGCACGATATCCATATATGGTGAACGTCAATTGGCTCTCAATCATTGCTGAGCAGCCTTTGCAAATTGCAAGCACAAGTCACGTTTTATGCCACATGATATAAGAAGTAAGACATTATTACTGGCTACTAAGGTGCTAAGACTTGTGATAGCATAACTCCAGAGTAGCGCCATAACACCGAGTATGTGAATACAAGTAACTTTTTAAACTCACGGACAAATATGCAGGAACATTACGAGAAAGGGCCGCGTGTCGATCACGTTTTCGCACAAAACGTGACCGACACTTGGCCGCTACATAAGATGAGAAGTCGAACATGGTTGCTAATAGAATAACTCAAGAATGGCACCATAACCAAGTATGTGAAGTGCCTGGATGGCGATTTCGCACGGATAGTTTGGCAGCACCTGATCGTTATACAAACGTTACTCGACGCAATCAGGCAACGACGCATTGAGGAGCTCGTCGACTTAAATGGAGAAAGGGTTTTGCTTTTGAACAATCGTTGCATTCAAAAGTGCACCAATAGTTAAAGCGAGTTTTTTGTGTCATATCTGATGTTTGTCTCAATAGGTTCAAATAAGGTGCATTCCCTTTACGCGGAAGAAACCAGGGCACATTTTGGCAGAAGTCTTTAGGTCGGAGTTGAATCGCTCACATCACTGCTTCTTGAAAAGTTCCACAATATCTGATCGTCTATCATTCCTTTATCACCATTGAGGCTGCTCCAAAACCTAAAACAACAAAATGGAAGCAGCACGGACATGTTCTTATTCATGCTAATTGCATAACAAGGACACGATTTGATCACATTCAGCATACATATTACCTTGACCTTCCTCATCTCTGACCGGTGCAAAAATATTGCAGTTTGATGGTGCGCTTTTGTGTGTGTGATACCGGGTAATTAACAAAGCATTTAAGTATTTAAATAACAAAGTTACACAAAGCGATTCACTCAGAAGCTTAGAAAGGATGTTCCACGTTGGAAGTTATTGAGGTCAGCATCATATATAATGGATAAAGCTCAATGGCAACTATTGACATGCTGTTAAAAGAAATTTTACACATGCATTCGAAAGCCAGCACCACATATGAGGAAATAAGCTCACCTATAGCTATTGGTATGCATGTATGTAGAAAAGACCGCTCAACCCGACACGATATGTCTTAGGAATGGAAAAAAAAACAACAATGGATGCTGCCACTTGCCCCCAACACACTTAAGGTCTTCTTTGCTAAAAAAACAAAAAAAAAACACAAGTTCTGGAAAAATCACTGTCTGTGAATCTGCTCATTCCCGCCTACTTTAATTAACATCAATGGATCTGTTATAGCGTTTAGCCTTCGGCATTGCTACCAAGGCATCGCGAACAAACATTTTGGCATGTGTTGGTCACAATAAGCAGGACTACTGTCCGATGTATTTTGTATGGCGCAACTTGGGCCCTTCCATGGGCCAACTTTTGGCTTAACTCACAGCGTCTTATGTTCGAGACTTGTCTCAAAACCGGTCCTACAACCGGGCTTGGTCCCAAAGCTGAACAGTTTTGACCACCATCAGCGTGCTGTAGTTGGCGCATTCATCTACACCATGAAGTTGGTTTCATGTCTTCACCTACTCTGATCGCTGAAGTATGGCACAAGCTCTAAACCCATCCAAATTGGATGGATTTCATGGGTCCGAATGGTTTGCGCACGGGAACGGCTGACCCTCTGCACACACCAACTCACATTTTTGTCTGCACCATTGTTCGTTTTTTCCTCCCTCAGATATATTGGTGTCGTTTTGTTGCGCGCTGGCTCATCCAAACCTAGATCTGATTTGAACCTGTGGTCTTAAGCTTTTTGTTTTTTTTTAGAATTGTTTTCTTACGCCATGTTAGACGGGAGGGGGGGGGGAGGAATTCCAAGAGATGTAGCAATGTGGCATGCAAAATCCGTCTCATCAGACGGCTTACATGCCAATGCCTCACAATTTACGCAGCACAACTGGGGCATTTCACAACTCCATGAAGGCGTTACACTCTAAAGTCTTCAAAATCTTACAAGTACGCTTGAGATAGTCTCATGCCGCAAAGATGCTTGTGCGAATCATATCCTTCTCCGAGCGGCCAAAAAGTTGTAGCCTCGGGCGTTTTGGAGGGGTCACGCCGCAGGCCTGTCTTTGACGATTTAAAAGTTATCGCCAGATGATCCGAATCGATAAAAGTTTGACGTTAGTGAACTGATAAAAATGTAACGGAAATTACGGTGCTTTTAAAATTCCCATTTCGCTTGATGGTGATGGGGACGGTAACTCCGTATGTCTCGGTACTGGATGGAGATGCTGAGATGCGATAAACAACATTCGATTGAATGGGCGGTTTCAAGGAATAAACTGTCACAATGCTTGTGGTCTAGTCAAGTTTATTTGAGGTCGGTTTGTTGATAGATGTATTACGGTTATGGTTCACGCGCTTAGGGTGCATAGAAGTTCACGCGATATGGTGTCGAATTAATCAAAATGCACGCTGTTGTAAGCATTACAAACATTGTGGTGCATCACTGAGATAGTACCACGAGCCAGTTGATCAAGGTGGTGGAAGTCCAAGAGAAGCGCATTTTTATGAAAATTGCTCTGTCCGCACCAAAGAACGTTCCCCTTATTACCTGATGTACCGCTTCCAGGCGATCAACGACTTGGTCACCGAACTGGAAAACAATAACATCACGTTGCTGGCAACAGCGACATTCGACATCAACGACTACCAAGAACAGCTGCAAACACTCAAGGTGATGTGCACTCATTCTGTATCCTCCATTGTCGCTTGGATGTCTGTGTTTGAGAATATACGCTGAGCTTGTCACGGTATAGATATTCAGAAAACGTTCGCTCACTTGCTCTTTTCTTTTCATTTCTGGCGCTTGCTTCCTCACTTATCGTCAGCTTTGCTTCGTTAAGCCCTTGCATGGCAGCATCTCGCTGCAAACCTGAGATCAATGTAGCACAATGTCCGTGCGCTCGAAACGTGTGGAAAAGTGCTAGCAAAGTGTTTAGGAAAATTTTACCCCCATTTAATCGTGCTAGAGGGCCTCCTCCTGACGTTGATCATGGTCTGCGCCAAGAAATTCCACGACTATGATCTACACCTGTTTATTGCAGACGCATCCAAAGCAAAGCACCCCAACGCAATTCCCAGCAGCCCTGATCCCAGTTCTTCTACACAGTGTTCTCCATACCTGCGCATCGAGGGCAAATCACGCCCTGAACTTGATGGCACCGCAGTGGGGTCATAAATTATGACGTTGGTAATCTTTTGCTCTGAGATATGGACTGGTTGTGGCGACGACTTGGTGACTGTCGATAGGCTCATCGCTCCATAATCGACTGTGACAGGCCTTTTGGGCAATGAGTGGTCGCTCTCTCCAACGTGTGATCAGGGAATGATTTTATTCGAAGTGGACCGATGCGACACATCTGGACCTCTTGAACTCACAGTTTCCTCATTATCCCCACTTATCCCGTTTGCTCGTTCTTGAAGTCTCGCGACAGAGGCTCTCTCCCTTTGAGAAATATATTTACGAGTGGTTTTCCATTAGGAATGACGCCCTATCACGTCTCTCTCTCTCTCTCTCCCTCTCTCTCTCTCTCTTTCTCTCTCTCTCTCTTTCTCTCTTTCTCTCTCCCCTTTCTCTCTATATCTCTCTTTTCGTCCCTATTTCTGTTTCTCTTTCCAATTAGTTAGTTATATCGGCATGCTCTTCTTACGTGTGTTGCCTGCAAATCTATTTCTGCCTTGTCTCTTATTTTTGCCTTGCCTCATCTTTCATGAGAGGTTCTTACTTTTAACATTCTCTTAAGAGAGTACTCTCCAGATCACCGGCATGTTCTCCGTTGACGATTTACTCTACAAAGTTGAGATCTCATGGCACGTTGCATCATGTCCAAGGGCCTCCAGTTTTGTTATGGACCAATCTTTCCCCGAAACTGACATGCGTTTATTGACCTATATTGCCTTTGGTAGCCTGAAGTCCGCTCATAGATTGCCTTGAGGGACAGATCTTGTCAACATTTTTAGTTTTTTTGTCTTCAGGACAAATATTTAATTTTATAACCGACGCCGGGATTAGCTTCCCCTCCTGCAGCGGGCTAGTTTCGCCAAAAATACCACGTCTGGGGACAGACGCATGGGGGACCATACACAAATGCCAAAAAATTATCCCCAAATCTGACTTACGTCCTGTCTCAAAGTTGCGTGGGCGGAGGAAGCCTGCTCAACTGAATAGAAATCCCCACTGCAGTTCCTGGCGGAGTTAGGCATGGATGTCGCTCCCCACCCTCACTAACTGGGCCGTGGGGCTCCTCGGCGAGACTCGGCCTTCTCCACACATTGGAGTGATCCACCAGCCGGGCTTGGCGCCTTGGCCGGGCGTCTTCACCAGCCGCTGGTCGCGCCACTCCCTAGAGACTCACAGCGGCAGCCAATTCACGATTTATGTCCCCCGGGGATCATCCTCGCCGCATTGGATCGTTAATGCTTTAATTTAGATTGAGCCCGCTTAGCATGGGCGTGTAAATATTTGATGGGTGCGCGGTTCTGCTGAGTGGGCGACGGATCGCAGAACGCACCTCTGGAGAGAGGTCCGAGTGGAACGGGCCGCTGCCACGTGCCTCGACTGCCGGAAATACGTGGCAAAAGTTTATGCGGTACGTGCCGGCATGAGTGGTGACATACCGGACGAGGTGACATACATGGGTGGTGACATACCGGACTCACGTGGGGTGCTGGATATGCAGTATATGATGCATTGAAAACGGGTTCACTTCGAAGTAAATCCAACTGCAGAAATTAACTTACAGAAATTTACACCACACAAAACGCTTGGCCGTAGAAGTGCCAAGTGGCAAAACGACTGGAAGAAATGAGATGGTATATTTCTGTTGGCGCGCATAAATGCCATTTAAACAAACGGACACCATTTTTAGTCGTTGCAAACCGCATTGCTTTAGTACCGTGTTAGTGTTCACGGCTTTTTGGAGGCGTCGCTTGCGCATTAAGCTGGCAGCTGTTGACTGCATAAGCTTGCTCTGGACACATTGATAACTGAGATGGACTGTTGGTTGTGTTTGGGGTGCGATAGCGCAGCAGTTAAGCCGCGCGTCTGAGGGGCCAGAGGAGCGGGTTTCCATCCCGCCGTGGCCGCCCTTCCTGCCAGGGTGGGAGGCAAGGGCTGCCATATGGCCTCAGCAGCTACGTGCGTCGATAGTCTCAACTGGCAGTTGTTGTCTGGCTGGGGCGATTGTGTGGCTGTTTCCGCCGCAGCTTTGTCGCATCCACAGCGTCAAGACAATCTTAAGACGCGCTCAGGTGGGGGTCAAATTGAAACCCCCCCCCGAATGTTTTCCAGAATGGCTTCCGAATGGCGCGGCTACGCCGTGCCAAATTTCGCATAGATGTAGAAAATTGAATAGTGGATCGTTTGACGTAAAACATTTAGATGCACCTTGTAAGGTCGCTGACCTATGGTTTCAGCGAAGTCAATTTCTAGGAAATCGGTTATTCTGATGCCACAACGGAGTGTTAGACGAAGCCACACATCTATGAGATGTTTTCTTAGGCAACACAAATATTGAATGAGCAAATTAAGTTGACCTAAGGTCAGGTATGAAGGTCAAACCAACGTCAAACCCAACCTGTTTTATTGTTGTAGGGCTTGCTGTATGGGAGAGTTGCTGGTACTCATTTCAAGTTTATTGATTGCAGGAAACACCTTACACATCTTCCATGGACTTCTCAGAGGTCAGAATAGGTCATTGACCTAAAATGAGCCACGTCAAAATTTTGTTTTTAAAAACATACTGTCTAACGTTATCTTTGTCGCTTATTCAAGTGCAAAACTCAGAGCAGTCTTGTAGGATTGTTGCCACTATGACCTTTAAAAGGTCAAACAAGGTCACTGACCTTAAATGAACATGTGACCTTTTGCTTCGAAACGGTTATATAGGTTCTGGGGGCACTTAAGAGACCAACCTGAAATTTGACATTGTTTGACCTTATTTGACCCGAAGATCATGACCTAGGAACCTCAAAATTTGGACTAAGTGCGTTCAAGTAGAGGTCAACACACCCTGCGAATTTGGTGTTTCTAGCTCTTTTAGTTTCCGAGATCTATGGGGGGTGGGGTCGAAATGACCGCCCCGAGCGAAGGGTATCCAGCCGGCCACCCGAGCGCGTGTTAATCCTGATCGTCGCCAGTGCCATCACAGCACCGCGCCCGAAGTGTCCCAAGTCCACATTGGCCGTCTGATATAACCCGAGGACTACCTGTATCTGATATCAAGTCGACCTAATGTAGACGGAAACGAAGAAAAGATGAATTTGTTATTATGATATGGTGGTGTGCACGGCCGAAGCAAATAGCATTGAGTCGGAGCAAATATGGACTTTCTGAGTTTGTAAACAAACAGTACACGTACCGACATGTAACAAATATGGTGGAAGGATTGCTAGTCTACCGTCTAACCCAGGCCCGGCCAAAATGTTTGTTGCTATGTTGCTATGTTTTCCTACGGTTTTTGGAGTACAAGTCATAAGCGAACGCTTCAGCTACATAAAAGCTTGAGTGCCTATTTATGCATGAAGTTGGCATCTTGCGTTCAAATTAAAAGTGTTGATCTCCCAAGATTAGTGACTTAAGTCAGGTGAAGGAGGCCAACCTTTATAAACTTTGAGCAGGCATACCTTTTTTGCGGGCCATTTACCAGTGTTCAAAGTTACATTGCTATAGAACATGGTGGTTCCTACATTTTGTATAGTTTAAAAAAATTTGAAGCAGACGTCGTCATTGACCTGAATTCAGGTTAATGTTTGCTATGTTTTGCGAATAATGCTAATGTGTATGTATTTTTGTGTGATTTTGGTGTTACTTTGGTGTTGAGTATGAGGACAAGAGTACTTGCAAAACCATCATATGACCCCAGAGCATAAGACCTTGGCCCAGTTCATGACCTGCTATTATGGGAGCCTTCTGTAAAACAACTCTGAGCTCAAAATAGACAGTTTTATGAGGTAATTTTGGACGCAGTATTCAAAAACTCCAATGGAACATAGTGATATCATTTTGAGGCAAAATGGGGTTACATTAGATCACGTGACAGATCATATAGTGAATTCAAGGTCACAAGAGGTCATCCAAGGTCAATGAACAATGCTGTCAGCAGTGGAGAGGCTTGAAGGACGAGTGCAACGCGTGTAACCACCTCCTTGTCGTGTATATAAAGCTGATGACGCATAATTTCATGGACCAAGGACCTGTTCCCAGTTTGTTACAAATACATGACGAGCGTTGGCGGTACTATATGGACAACAGCTATGCGATATTGAGTACCTGTAGATGTGCAACACACTATTTCCTACTGTATGAAAGCATTACACTGGTCACATGGTCTCGGTTTAGCACTTTAACGTTTTGGTCTGGTGGCCTATTAATTTAACCTAAGTTGGCTTCTGATGACCTCTAGGTCAGACTACAATGGTGTTGCTGTGTCTGGAATATTATTGTTTCACAGCTTCACTTCATAAATTAAACTTACTCACAAGCACCTTATGAAAACGCATAGTTTGCGAAGAATGCTGGCAGACCAACTTTTAACGGTGACCTTATCTGACCCGATCATTGTAGGGGTACAGAAATAGTCGAAATGGACACCTCACAGTCCTAACACTCATTTACGTGCCCTCAATGTCCGTCTTTCCTTATTCACATATATTTTAACTGCATCTATTACAACG